TGATTATATTGTTAATTATATAGGTAGCTTGTTTGTCTGTTATATTCTTGGTTTTGAGTATATCATTGAGTCTTGATGCCTCTTGCTTGATAAGTTTAATTTGTTTGTTGTATTTGAGAGTAGCTATGAACCAGCAACTTAAAAACTTAAATGGAGTATATATGGGTTGTGTAGTAATGGCAAAGTTTATAAAGTTGATTTGGAGTGTTGAGTTGGTGTTTGAGATAAGATTAAATTTTTGTGGGTTTACTTTGAAATATATTATTTATTAAAGGTCCAATATTTTAATATCATATATTACTATCATTATAAATTTGAAATATATTAATACTGAAGTTAGATATATAATAAGGTATATTAGAGAGTGCTTTGGCCAATTACAAACTTTTGGTTCTCAAATATAATTTGCTTAATGACAAACACATAGACAGTATAATTAAATACTATTAAAAACTAACCAGTAATCTTGTGTTCCTAATGTACTAATCATATAAAATCAAATATATATATATATGTGTACACGTCATTTTATAAAATTTATCTTACCTGTTAATATTCAAAAATTGACATGCTTTCTGTTAACTATTCTAAATAAAAGTCAAGGTTAGTAAATCTTAATAACAGGTATAATAGTTTGTAGCTTAATAGTTGATGTATTACTTATTTTTTAATTAATATTTAGAAATTTTAATTTAATAATATAATATGGAAGTTGATACAGATTTAGTTACACCAAGTGATTTGGTATCAAACCATGAGGCAAACTATGAGACAAGCTATGAGGCAAACTATAAGGCAAACTATAAGGCAAACTATGAAGCAAACTATGAGGCTAACTATAAAACTAACCATGAGACAAATGATAAGACAAACTATGATACAAACTACAAGGTTTTAGTAACTATTACTAGTTCTAATCATGGGTTTAGAACTAACAATAAAAAGTTATTGTAAGCTGTTTGAAACCATTTTATATTGATAACTTTAGATAAGCCTAATAAAGGCAAGACATAATATAATTATTGCAAGAAGGAATTTTCTCAAAAAAAATTATCGGGTACTACACATTTATATCGTCATCTAAAGTCTTGTATTAAGTATAAGATAGCTTGTAGATCTTTAAATTCAAATTTTAAAAATACTAGAGATCAAACACAGTTTACTTTTAATCAATCTACAAATTGGGTTTATTCTCAAGAAAAAAGTAGAATAGACATGATTATCAGAGATAAATTAAGTTTTTAATTTTCAGAGCACTCTGGATTTTTAACCTTTGTTAAAGGATTACAACCTAATTTTAAAGTTTGCAGTGCTGATACTATTAAACAGGATACTTTAAAACTATATTAAGATAAAAAAAACATTATTAGAAATATTCTCCAAAATGTTCCCAGTCAAATATCATTAACAACAGATATTTGAACATTACAACAATAACTTAGTTATAGTTCTATAGTAGTGCATTTTATAAATAAGGATTGGAAGCTTGTTAGCTTTCTTATATTATTGAGATTAATACATTTTTCCTATACTGAAACCAATATAGCCAGTTCAATTAAGTCCAGTACAGATGATTTTTTAATTACAACGAAGGTATTATATTTTATCTTATTATATATAATAAAATATTTAATATTATTGAAATTAAAAAAATTAACTATAATATATTTTAAAGTTACAGACTATAACACTTGATAATGCTTCCTCCAATAATGTAGTTATTAATAAACTTGCTGATAAGCTTACTTCTCTTTCAGTTGATGTGGATATTAAACTTTTTCAAAATCATTGCTTAGCTCATA